AGTGAATACAATAGAATGTAAAGGATTCCCTGGCTTGCAAGTCTTTGTAGGTTTAGACAATTTAAATGAAATGCAATCACCAGAATCTATCATGAAATTCACATTCAACTGGTTAAGTTCTGAGGCTCTGCCAGCCGAGGTCAGAGCAAGTAATGCCACTAATTTACACGATAACTTTTTCAGACAAAGGCTTCTGTTATCACCTAAGTTATCAATAAACTTGAGTAAAATGTCTACATCCCAAGATTCTTGATATCTTGGTTTTGGGGTTCTCATACTGAAAATAGCTCTCATATGAGTAACAATTAAAGGATGTTGTCCTACACGTTGACCCTCTACAAGGGCATGGTTTTTGGAAATTGCAGATCTGTAGGTATTAATTGTCCTGTACTGTTTGTTCTCATTGTACAAAACAGTTAAAAACTCTAGAATAGGTTCCCGAGGGGAGTGAATTGGATCAAATGATTTTGAACCACACCAGCCAACCCACTTTCCCCAGGCACTTTTGTAAGCTGCTCTAGTTCCTGGTCTCCATGCTTGGGAGTGTAAAGAGGCAGCTTCTCTAGAAAGAGACCTTGTTTGTATGTGTTCCCCGAAACCATCCATGCAGCTAGATGAAGGGATTTGTCTAATGTGGGAGGATGAGGTAAGCCTGTTGGAGATGTTAACAGTTTGGGATATGGTGGAAGAAGGACTGGGTTGTGAATCAACATTTCTAACAGAAGAGGATACCAGGGTTGAGCTTGCCAAACTGGTGCTATCAGTACTACTGATTCTATCTGTTCCTCCCTTATCTTCCCTAAACATTTGCTTATCTGACTGAAGGGGGGAAATATGTAAGCTTTCATTCCCTTCCAAGAATGTAGAAAAGCATTGATCCCCCTGGCCCCTGGGTCTGCTTTCCAACTGTAATATTGAGGAAGTTGATGGTTTAGACGAGAGGCAAAAAGGTCTACTTTGCACCACCCTAGAAGATTCATAATTTGATTGAAAATTGGTTTGTCTAACATCCAATCCCCTGAATCTTGCTGATTTCTTGACTCCCAGTCTGCTTTTGTGTTCAGAGATCCGGGAATAAATTCTGCTACTAGGGAGATTTGATTTACTTGACACCAATCCCATATTTGTTTTACCAGATGATTTAGTAATGCAGATTTTGTTCCGCCCAATCTGTTTATGTGTGCTACAGCTGTTATATTGTCTATTTTTATTAAAATTTGAATATTTCTTTTTGATTTTGCAAATGATTGAACTGCCAAAAAAGCTGCCAGGAGTTCTTTTGCATTTATGTGATAGGATTTCTCTACAGGGGACCAAAACCCTCCTGTGCTTTGAGTTTCGTATGTGGCCCCCCATCCTAGGTCTGAGGCATCTGATGTGAGAATCATTGAGGGATTTGAAGCAATGATTGATTTCCCATTTGAAATTTCTAACTGATCTATCCACCATCTTAGTTCTGTTTTTACCCCACTTGATATAGGAATCATTGCTTCGTAATGTTTGTTTTCTAGTAACCCCTTGATCTGAGTCATTTGCATGCATCGACATTGTAATTTTGCTGGAATTATTGCCTGCATTGTTGAAATTAATTTTCCTATCAACTGGGACATTTCCCTGACAGACAGACTTTCTTTTTTCAGAACTTGTGTACAGTTTTCTTTTATTTTTTGCACTTTTTCTTCTGGTAATCTGAAGAGCATATTTACGGAGCTTATATCGAACCCCAAAAAAGAAATTTCTTGGACTGCGTCTAACATAGATTTTTTCCAGTTTATCATGAAACCAAGCATCTGTAAGAGATACAGTGTTGTATTTCGACTTTGAACCAATTTCTCTCTGTTTCTGGCTAGAATAAGTATGTCATCTAAGTAGATTATGAGTTTTATTCCTAACCTTCTTAGAAGACCTTCTATTGGTTTTAAAAGTTTTGTGAATATTCTTGGAGCAGAGGCCAGACCGAATGGAAGTGTCTGGAACTGAAACATCTCCCCTCTCCATAGAAATCTCAAAAACTTTTGATCCCTTTGATTGATTGGGACTGTCAGATATGCATCTTTCAGATCTATTTTGCACATGTAAAAACCCCTTTCCATTAAATCTTGAACCATGAACAGACCTTCCATCTTGAAATGTTGATAAAGAAGGAATCTGTTTAATGGTTTTAGATTTATTATGGGTCGATGTCCCCCGTCTTTCTTTGGGACTGTAAACATGTTGCTGACAAATTGATATTGATGGGAAGTAACTCTTACTACTGCATCTTTCTGTAGCAAACTTGTTATTTCTTCTTGAAGAATGTTTTCTTGTTCTGAACTTAAAATGGGGGGATGAGGAATTTTTTCTTGAACTGGATGACTTATCCAATCTAAAGAAACTCCCTGAACTGTTCTTAGAATTGTTAGATCTTTTGTTATTCTTTGCCAATTGTTTATGAAATACTTTAGCCTCCCCCCAACAGGGATTACATTTTCTTGATCTACCAACTGTAGATTTAAACCCAGAATTTCTGGAAAAATTTCCGATTTTTTTAGAACTACTACAGAAAATGAGCTTAACGCTTCTTCTGCATAAGTAAGAGTTCTTTCCCTTTCTAAATTTTGAGGTATATTGTCCATACCTGTCCGACTTCTTTCTGTAACTCTGGTTAGGTCTGTTGAACCTGTATCTTTGGCCCTCCGAAAATCTGGCGGAGGGCCCATCTTGAAAGGCCTGTCTGAACCTTTGCTTATTCCCGTAACTGGTATAGGAAGTAGAAGGTCGATTGTAAAAAGTTGACTTCTTTCTTTTCTTTTTCTCTGGCTGAAAAGCATCAACTACCTCGTTAGCCTCTTTTCTTCTTTTCCCTGTCTTTTTTAAGATATATAAATTATAAATTTATCACCAAACAGTTTACTCCCGCTTGTTTCTAAAGCTTCAGCATTTTCATCCAAAATGGCCTTAGCCTTCTTGTAATCTCCTGTAATTTTCACCGTCGCATTGACTCTGTGATGGTGATCAACTGCTACACTTGCTTGGCCAATCAAACAAACAGACTGTTCTAGCAAAGAACACATGTGGGTCACGTCAACGTTATCAACTTCATGAGACTCCCCAGAGGCAGCACGCAGATCTTCTAGAATGCCCCACAACTTAGAAAGAGGCCCCAAGGTTTTGTAAATTCTCGACTGAATATTTTGTGCCCCTTTGTCAGCTCCTTTATCATAGTGTTTGTTTTTCTTTTCCAGTAAAGGACTGATAAAAGAATCTAATTTTTTCACTTTGAAAAGATCACCTGCATCGGGTATTGGATACTTGTCCAAGATCTTAGTTTTCAGGGTTTCGTCACTGAAATATTTAGTAAAGAAAGGCTGACAAAACTGTTTCAACTCATTGTCAAATTTTTTTCCTTTTACATCGTTATTAATGTCAAATCTTTCGTAAACTTCAATCGTTTCTGACGTTACACTTCTTTTTGGTTTTGAGGTGCTACTTTCGTTTTCTCTATTTCTGGTGTTGGAATTAATGGATTCCGAACCCGACTTCTGTGACTTACGAGAAGAAGCTCCAGAATCACTGCTACTCCTAGAACCGTCAGAACTTGAAGAATCTGAACTGGAGTCAGAACTCGAACTAGAGTGTTTCCTTTTCTTCGCTCTACTCTTACTGTGAGTTTGAGCTTTGGTGTGCCCACTACTAGGGGTTTCACCTTTATCAAAATGGCGACCATGTCGAGAAACGTGTTCACTTGAATTCGCCGGCGAACTCGACGTAGAACGCCTAGTCTGCTCTCTCGACCAGTTTGAGAAGGACATGGAACTGTCTGGTATGCTCAATACATCCGAATGTTTCCTCATAAAACCAAGGTCAAGGGAAAAACGTAAAAAAAACAAATGAACACGGACACCACAAAGTGTAGTGGACCGTAACAATTCCAGGTAAGTGTCACTCACGAGCCAAATCGAAGAATGAGTAAATTTCTATAGGGAGACTTTTTATATGGCTATTTATAGCGTCACCTAGCGGCGAGTCAAGCGGAGAGAACACTAAGTATCTTATCGAAGGTTATGAAATGAAATTTTAATTGTCTGACAGATAAAGGGATATACACTGTGTACACAAAGGTGTTAACACCTGTGTTGGTTTAAACACCTGCGGGCATGATTAACAGATCCACATGCCGTTATAAGGGTATTAGTGCTACACATCATTGAACAAACAAAGCTGTGAAATTCATGATGACTGTTAAATTGTGAATGTATTCTCAATTCAATTTATTTTTTACAACGGGTATTTCCCTAATTGTAGCTGTTGTATACTACCGTATTTATGTGTGTAACGACAGAGTCAAACTATGGCGGCATTGAACAGACAAGTTGGAGAAAATACGTTGTATCACAATTCAAGAAAGTTTTAACTATATTTAAATAAAAACACTATTTAAATGCTGTACTCATAAAAATACCAGTTTATATAAAACCAACACAAATGACATTTACAAATTTATTCAAATTGCCTTCTGGTAACTACTCAGCTATTATAAAATTGCAACAAACTATAATGAAAAATTACACACGCAAAACAATGTATTTACAGTACTCTAGATATTTACACTAATTATCAGCCAACATGCCTGATACAACCAGGCATTGTTAATGAGTAAATGCAATGTGTATTAGGCCGATGGCCGAATATGGTAGCCGATGGCTTGTATGTGTGGTGGGCTGCAGGCCCCCATGTATGTGAGGCCGATGGCCTAGTGACAGTGTGAGGCCGATGGCCATGAGTGAGTTAGGCCGATGGCCTTGCATGCATGTAAATGGCCGATGGCCTTGAGACAGTGAAATGAATGTGGCCGATGGCCTGTGTGCGTGTGTAAAAGTGCATCTAACATGGATTTACAATAAACAAAATTTCTTTTGGGGTTAAATAACACACTTGACCAAGTGTGAAATGCCCAAATGAAGTTATTATAATGTCAATATAATAGCTGAGAGCCCCAAAAGGAGTTATCAAACACCACCACTCTTGATCTGATACCAAAAATTATAAAATCCAATGAACATAGATACAAAGCAAATTCATCTTCTTGAATTCCAACTTAACCCGTATTATGAACATGAGATAAAATAAAATGTAAAGTTACATTCGCTTATAAAACTACATATGTACATAACTGTTCATTGTTTAACAATCCGCTCCAAGTTTTGTGAAAACAAACCAAATACACAACATGATGTGAACATAAAATGTTGAATTGCATGCTTAACTGATCTATTACATTTACATACACAACTGCCTTAAACATACAGCTAGTCTTTTTTACACAGTTTTTTGACAACACATTGCCTTTTGTGCACGTGACAAAGTTTGATCATCGGAACGAATGTACCTGGTGTAACAGTCTGAGCTCCATCTACCCAAGGTTTTGATCAAGTGATCTTCTACTTGGCCACCGGCAGCAGAGGTAGCAGCTCCTATTCTGAAAGAGTGGCCATTGAAATTCTCGTCATCCAAACCCAGCAATTTGAGTATCTGCTTTAGTTTGGTAATGAAAAAGTGTCTTGATAATGGATTTCCACTTTCATCTGTAAATAAGGCTGAAGACATGACACAGTTGTACCACTTTCTTCGAAGGTTTAAATATTTTAACATGGATTTCACTGGACACACGGTTTGGTCTGACTGAAATAAACAGATCTGAATTCCTTTACGAAAAGGGTCAGTTTTAGATCGTTTAAGCGTGATAGTATAAGCTTTGTAGTTTCGATCCATGATGACATCTTCCACACACAATAGGTTGTCTTGATTTATATCGTTCACAGTGAATTCCCCGCATCGAAGGAATGCGAAAAATGCTAGAGAACAAGCAGCTTGCAGCATGGTATCTAGGAAATAACCGAACATACCCCGCTGTAAGACATTTTGAATTTGGATCAAAACACTGTATGTAGTGGGCCTCCTTTTCTGTTTAGAACTTTGTTGTTTTTGAATTCCCCTCAACACTGTTTGCAACCTTGCACACGATTCATCTGATGATAGAGGATTAGAAATACCAGCCTTCACATAATGGAATCTCACAGCTGCAAGATACAATTTGATGTTATTGTACGTTAGTTTTAGGGAATTGCAGCAGTGTATAACAAAGTAAATAAGGGTTTGTTCTGAGATCTTAGGTGGATTATAATTAGGCGCTTCTATTCCAATCGATGAAAGGAACTGGCAATATACTGTAAGTCCTGTTCTGTATGCCCTCCTTGTATTGTTGCTGATTGAAGATTCGCATAAGTCCCTAGACTCTTTCTCTAATACAGGATTAATTCTTTCAAGGATGGTACTGGTACTGGCATTGCTGCTGCTGCTGGAGCTACTTCTCTGAATTTTGTCATCTGGAAACGAGAAAGAGAGTCAGCAATAATGTTTATCTTTCCTGGAACATGATCACATAATACAAGGAAATTATTATTAGCTGATATCCAAGTTAGTTTTCTTAGTAGCTTCATAATCATAGAGGATTTTGATCTGCGTTTTTTAATTATCTGAACAGTGGCCACCAGATTATCACACCAAAATTTAATTCTCTTTCCTGACCATTTATGCCCCCATATCACAGCGGCAACAACTATGGGATACAATTCTAACAATGCCATAGATAATGTGTCATCGCCGAGGTCTTGAATTTCTGGAGGCCATTTTCCTTGGAACCATTCTCCGTAATAGTAACCCCCGTAACCAATGGTAGAAGAAGCATCTGTATACAAGGATATGTCTGAGGCACAAGTCACATTTTCCTCCAGAAAGAACGAATGTCCATTCCACTGCTTTAGAAATGTTTCCCACATAGCCAAGTCCATTCTGCATTCTTTAGTTAAATTTACGTGATGATGTAATTTAGTAACTGAATGGGCCAGAGTTAAAAGATATGAAATAAATGATCTGCCTGCTGGAATAATTCGTGCTGCGAAATTGAAATACCCTAATATGCTGAGTAGTTCTCTTTTTGTGCAGGAACGTTTTGACTTTAAATTGCCAATGAGAAAAAATATGCGCTCTATTTTTTCTGGTGGGATTCGTGCTTCCATTTTAACAGAGTCCAATATAATTCCCAAGTATTCCATTTCTGTACAAGGTCCTTTTGTTTTCTTCTCCGAAATGGGAATTCCTAAATTGCCAAACACCATTGTTAGTATTGCCATACTTCTGAATCCTTCTTCCTCTGTAGGATCCAATGTCAAGAAATCATCTAACAAATGTAACACCTGCTTGATTTTGTAATTATTGGTTAAAATCCAGCAGACGGCCTGTGAAAGCATATAAAATATTTTGGGGCTACTTCTGCACCCAAACACTAAGCGTTTATAAAAGTAATATTTGTTTCTCCATTTTATGCCATAAAAAGGTTGCACTGTTTTTGACAAAGGTAATAGCTTGAATGCGTCCACAATGTCAGTCTTGCACATCAATGAATTAACACCTAATGATTTCAAAATACTTATGGCATCATCAATACGCACATACTGTAACGAGTAATCTTCCTTATCGATGAGGCTATTGATGCTAACTTCGGATGCCGAGTCGTGAGGCGATGAGAGGTCTACTATCAATCTGTATTTCTTTGAGTATTTTCCTTTGGCAACACCAATAGGGCTAATATGATAGACTTCAAACGGTGGTTCATCATATGGTCCATCTACATAACCTTTGTCAATTTCATACTTGAGTAAAGTGTCTACTACTTCAGGTTTCTTCCTAGCTGTACTTAAAATTTTGCATTCAAATGAAGTCAATGGCAGCTTAGAAATTCCTGTATCAAATCCATTCTCCAATCCATTAATGAAAGTATCTACAAAGTTTTTGTCTGGATGATGGTGCAATTCTGACTTAAATGCTTCGACGTTGATCGTAGTTAAAATTTCTTGTTTTTCGGAATCTGACTGTAAGGTAAAATCAGGTAGTCATTGCTTCTCACTTTGGTTGCCCTCCTTTTGTTTCGTGGTTGTTTTACATTGCGTGGAAGTATGTTTTCCCATCTTACAAGTTGAACATATATGTACCAAGTTACACGAGGGTCTGTTGCATCCTGTCTCACTGTTAAAATTGTTACAGATTTCTCTGCCCCTATGCGTGATTCTGGGCCCTCCTTGCACATCCAGTTGGTTTTGTTGTCCTCTGTTCCTGTTTTGTCCTGGAAGTGAACTATTTGAAACTGCACTGAATTTTGCTCTTGGGCAGAAATGTGAAGTGTGTGTAGTACTGTTGCAATTCTCACATCTTATTACCATCTGGCCAGCAAAAATAGTGGTAAACAGTTTCATGTCCCTAATTGACCAGTCAACTCTGATATTTCTTTGATGAAGAAGGGCACTGGCTCTCGCTGAAAATGCCTTGTGATATTTGTAAAATGCAGAGCCACGTGTCATGGACGCCATCTCCACGATATCACGTTCATATGCATCCAATTCTATTCTTCTTTCCGGATATGTTTCACAAATGATGTTTTTGAATTTTGAGAATGCCAGTATAAACTCGCTTCTTTGTAATCTGGCATCAGTATTTTGTTTCAGTAAGATATAACGGCCTTCCTTATCTTGAATTTTATGTTCCTCATTTTCACGAGGCAGAAGTAAAGCGGCAAGATTGACATCCTTACCTTGGATAATGTTGTTCCTGAGGTTTGTGGACACAGTCTCGACATACAGGACCGAATCCGATGGAACACGAGAGCCCGATGGTAAATTAACACGGTCCGGTTACGATGTCGGTGTACTCTGGTTGGGATTTTGCTGTTGTAACTTGCTGACAACATTTGTAAGTGACAGAAGAGATTGTTGTATTGTATCAATTGCTTGGCTCAGCGAGTCTATTTTGGTTTCATTTGTTGACTTCCGCCCAGCCTCGTTATGAATTGCTCTCTCCGAAGATGCCGGAAGTTCATGAACTTCATCGCCATTTTGATTCTCACTAATGTCAATTGTTCTTTCGTCTGACAGAGAACTGCTAAGCTCTTTACGACTGTTTTGTACATTGTCTTTATAAATTTGAAGTAATTGAGATTTCTTTAAAGTAGCTGGCACTACTATATTTGAGTCTTTCAGTTTTTGTATTAAGTCTGATGACGACCAATTTTCGGGTATATTAGCGTCCCATCTAGATGTGCTTTGATTTTCACTGCGAGTACGCACATTCCTACCTGGAATCTCACTTGTCTTTCCTTTCCTTCCCGTCATTTTTATTTTCTATAGTCACAATAATAAGAGCCTCGGGCTAAAGTTCAAGTCATTCGGCCATAACATGTAAACATTGAAACGAAACAAACACACGTGTATCCTGGGTCGGTAGTCACATACTGTATATGCATTTACCACTTGTAAATAGTCCACATATTATGAATACGCTACAAAAATCCAAGTTGGCTAGGAGACGAATATATTCCAAAGGAATCTAGAGAAAATCTTTGAGATGTAACACTACAGTTGCAGGAACTAGACAAGATGCTAAGAATCTGATTGGCTTATAGAATCACGTGATAACAAGCATGTTGAAATATGATACAATCTACATGATTTTATATAAACAATATTTAATAAGTTAAATAACATTTTATTTTCTCGATACGTTAATATCACGGTTTACTTTAAAGAGGTTTATATGTTCTGATACTTAGTATCTACGTAAGAATCTCTAGAAAATCGATAAACAAAGCCTCGTCCTATCTTCTGGATTTGTCCTATCTAAGGATTATTTAAAAATTACGGCTGAAAATGAGCCTTTAGCTCATTTATAACAAGTCTTTTATTTTTGTAAAAAAAATCATAATTATCAAAACTGTTCACCAAATGATGTTTAGATTTTTATGTGTTGTAAGTTTTTCTTTCAAAAGCAATGGTTATACATGTATCTTTGTATATAGGAACAGGCCAGGTGGAAGAAATTTCACGGGGAGGAGGTGTACAACCAAAAATTTTCAGTTGGGGGCACTATCAAGAAAAAAATTCCTTATCAAGCAAAAAGAAGTTATAATACTTTACTATTTATATGATTTAGGGGAGAAGTAAAATGTAGCTATGTTTTCTGTAGCATATTATTTATCGGCATTTTTTTGGGGGGGGGGGGGGGGGCTCCCGAGTCGTCACCATCCTCTCCCCAGTTCCAATGGCCATGAAAAAATACAAGTAATTCAGTGTATATAGAATGAATTCATGTCTGAGTTTCATTTGATGTTGATGCTACTGGATTGATTCGTCTTGTTTCTTAGAAAAATAATTTATTTCTGGACTCAGAGTTATGTTGATTACCTTGGGTTTAACATTTCTTGATTTTTCGTATAATAATAAATTTGCTCACGTCAGACAAGCTTTTTAAGAAAGCTAATACTTGCTAAGGGAATTAGTCTTGGCAGGTAGAAACAGTTGTCTTGGCAGGGAGAAACAGTTGTCTTGGCAGGGAGAAACAGTTTTCTAATACTTGGTCATCTGTCTGCAGTGTCTTGAGGGTTGGCAGAGCTGGTGACCTCCTCCATGTTGTTTGAGTTTTGTGACACATAGTTCTTGAGTAGCTGAGGAAGAACGTTGGCAGTCTTTTTAAGAAAAAAAAAGATGTTTAAGGTGAAACATCTTCACTGCTATAACATAATTAAATCTTAAAATTAAAAAAGCCACATACATTGAAATCACTGTATTATTAACTTGCATTATAATGAAAATATTGCTCATAGACAATTTTAAAAGAGTAAAAAATGCCAGTTTATGGTTGGGGGTTTCCTAGATACAAAGTCCAAGCAAACTTGTACCTCTTTTTTTACCTTTCTGCAGATAGATTATAGCATCCTTTCTTGATCAGCAAGATCAACTTCAAATGTGTACTTGTTGTACAAGTCTGATACACAATCTTATGATTTCTCTGAGTCAGATCACAGTTGGTACTGAGGTATGTGACAACCTTCTTGTCCCTTCATGTGGTGACCAAGATTTCCTTTTTTTGCATAGCAAGGGTGTGACCCGTTTTTCTGTTTCACAGTCTTTATGGTTTGTGGCATGCCACAACAGTTTTTCTTGAATGATGCCACAACAATATACATCCTCCATTAATACCTGATCATAGAGTTTCAGACTTGGAAAAAAAATTGTCCATTTAAACAACATAACACTTATTAAAATATAAAAGGAACATGGGGGATGATAAATAAAGTACATTTCATTTACTATTTACAGTTTATATTTGTACAGTGAAAACTGCATAAGGTCTGATTGTCCATGGATGCTCTTTGCTCTGTCTGGATTTTTCTCATGAGGGAGAACACCCTCTCATGATCTGCATTGCAGTTTTGGATGCAGCACTTGGACTGGGTAATTTTACTTAGAGATGGGAATCTTGGTGTTCCATTGACTTTATTGGTGACTTTTTTCCATTTCTCCCCTATATGTCTATTTTTGTCTGTCCCTTCTCAAAGTTAGAAAGGTCACAGTCAGAAGAAAAACTGAAATTCAGAAACTCCTCTTCTTACTTTGGAAAGTCATTTTCTTGAGGTATGGCATTGCAATGGTCTGCAACAACAAGGGGATGAACAATGAAATTTGAAAACAAAAATTCTGTTTCAACACCCCTGAAATGGAAATTATTTTGTCCAAGATCAACGTAATGTACTTGAAAAAATATAAACCATAAACATGTTGTAGTTTGTTCAATGCTTGAATAATAAAACTCATTTATCTGCATTCTCCCTCATGTCTGTTACATTCATTTAAATTTATGTTATAATTGATTTTAATATATATTTTACCAATTTCAAACAAGTGCAATTTGCAGTTTTCTTATTCTGGTAAGTTTTACCCTCATCAGTGGAAGTTGATAAGAA